GTGCCGGTTCCTTCATCATGCTCTCCCTCTTCATTCTCGTCGCCAGCTTCGTCACCGTCATCGTCTCCATTATCCTCCTGAATCGTTTCAGCGAATAATCTCCACTCATCACGATCAGCTCTGAGACGCTGTTCGGCTTTCTGGGCCTTGAGTACTTCGCTTCGCAGATCGGCAATCTTCTCCTCGTACCGTTCCGCGACCTCTTTCTCGATCTGACGTCTCCTTGCTTCATGAATGGAATCGTCATAGGCAATAGGGGGACCAATGAGGTCGTTGCCCTTCGTAGATGCGGTGATGCCGTCGACACCAACAGGTCTTGAGGAGCTGGCAGATGCTGTGGACTTCGATCCCAACATCCCGCGATCCTCCAAGAGTTCGCGTAGCTGTCGATCACGCACGGCTGCCGCATCACTTTTCCCATGAAATCCGCTTGGTATGCCAAACAAAGTGGCTGCACTAGGCGTGGAACGCGCAAGTGCTGGGCTGCTAACACCTGGCACGTAGTGCTCGGGCATTGCATCCGCCACGATTGGCATTGAATTGCGGCCAGTGAAGAAGTTTCCACCGGTAAATGGAATTCCGTCCATCACAAGGTTCTTGTCCTTGTCCGATTCCGAGAATGCGAACTTCTCTTTGGCGACTGGACTAACTTGACTTGGGGACCGTATTTCAGGGGATCGTACCTCACCTCCTACGGAAAATGCAGGCACTACTTCCTTTCCTACGTGCTCCCAGCCAGACTCAGTAGTCCTCGAAGACATGGGCATGCTCGAAGGCCGTGTCGCTCCTCCATAGTTGGAGTTCCGCGCTGCCTCCAATTCGCTGCGTGTCCTCGCTTGAAGATCTTCTTGTGCTTTGAGCGTTTTCCTGAGTTCACTCAGCTCGTCGTGCAAGGTAGGCAATGCTCGCCTTGCATGATCTTCATTCTGATGAAGTCGGTCCTCTGCATCTTGCATCCTCCTCACAGCCATTTTGCGGTACTCTTCCTCTTCACCAAGACGTTCGCGAAGCCGAAGTCGTTCTTGATCAATGGCTGCGCTGTTTCCAGCTAGCCCTTGGATCTCGTTCACGGCCCGCAACTCCTGGTTCTTGACCAAGTGGAATCGTTCCTGCATTGCTTGTAAGGCTTGTTCCGAACTTGCTGTGTTCGACCGGAGGAACAAGTTCTCTCTGGCATGTTCATGAAGTTCATGAGTCAGACGCTCATACTCACGTGCCATAAGCTCACCATCGCCTTGCGCTCTTGCCTCCAACTGCACAAAGTTAGTGGCTGCCTCCGTGCGGAACACGTGTAGCTGTTGAGCTAACTCCTCGGCAACGGCATGTGCTTGACGTTGTTGAGCAGAGTTCTGTTCATCCATGCGAAACAAAGCTGTTTCATAGTCTCGCTTCATCTCCTGATTGACATTGTTGATGTGCCTCATGGCTAAGCATGCATGGTCACGTTGTCGTTCCAATTCTTCGATGCGAATTCCAGATCCTTCATCTTCTTGTTGCATCTCCTTGATCTTGTCCATCAGGGTCTGGACAACTCCTTCGTACTCTTGCATCTGACTGCGATAGTACATCTGCTGCGCAAGGTTCGATGCTTCGAACTGTTGCGAAATCGTCAGCTCCTGATAAGCATTCGGACCATCGGCTATGGCTGGCGTGGCCACCGATGACGCATCACCACGTGCTGGGATAGTGTCCAGAGTCATATCCAGATCGTCAGCATCGCGTGGTTGGTTGGTAACCATCCGATTCCAAGTCATGGACTTGTCACGCCCACGAGTAACCGAAGTCCTTGATCGTGCTGAAGAGCTTCTCGAAGATGATGGTCTTGACTTCTTTTCCAAGGTCTTCACTCCTTTGTCCTTGGCCCTGGACGTAGTCCGAGGTGCCTGAAAACCAGACACTTCGGCTCGTCGTTCGGGAGCCTTGCCCGTCCTCGAACCTGTGGATGTCGGACGCGAAGGCGTAGATGCTCTTGGTAGACTCTTTGCTTTTACCTTGGGAACTGCCTTTGCAATGGCAAGCGCAGAAGATTGACCTTTGTCATCTTCCGTGGAGCTATCAACGGATTGCACCACTGTGTCATCAGCTGTTGATTCACCAACGGCTGGCGCTGCCACATCGGCACCGAAAGTCATTGTCGTATCTTGGCTTGATCCCGAGTTCATTGTGGTCGTAGTAGATCAAGTAGTCGTTGCTGTAGAAAGGCAGAGCCGCGTACGGCTGATAACCTGCGTGGGGGATTGATCTCGACTAGGTTGCTGCTCTCCCCACCAGAGCTGTAATGAATGTAGGTGTGGCTGGCTTGCACTCTCCACAGACTGGACCCTGTCTCTCTCACACTTCCACACGTGCAATCCTATGCAGGCAGAACCGGCGGCCGTTCCTTTTGCACTCACTGCCGGCGGCGGTTCGTCTGTGCAACGGGATAGCTCTGATTGCTCAGGATAGAAGACACTTATAGCACTTAGCTATGGGCATTGACTTGAGCCAAACGTTGCGTGGGCGGTCACATAGAAAGGTAAAGATGAGGGACGCGTAGCGTGCCCCCTTAGAGTCGAGGGACGCGTAGCGTGCCCCCTTCTCTTGCACTTTACACGGTCTTGCTCACAGCTCTTATAGTGACACCTTAGAACTTGACAAGGCATCGCAGTCCGTTCGCATTTAGGGTTTAAGGGGTTTAGGGGTTTTTAGGGGTTTAGGGTTTGGGGTTTAAGGGTTTAGGGGTTTAGGGTTTGGGGTTTAGGGGTTTAGGGGTTTAGGGTTTAAGGGTTTAGGGGTTAGGGTTTAGGGGTTTAGGGGTTTACAGGTTTAGGGTTAAGGGGTTTAGGGGTTTTTAGGGGTTTAGGGTTTGGGGTTTAGGGGTTAGGGGTTTAGGGTTTGGGGTTTTGGGGTTTAGGGGTTTAGGGTTTAAGGGTTTAGGGGTTAGGGTTTTGGGGTTTAGGGTTTAGGGGTTTAAAGGTTTAGGGTTAAGGGGCTTAGGGGTTTTTAGGGGTTTAGGGTTTGGGGTTTTGGGGTTTAGGGGTCTAGGGTTTAGGGATTTAGGGGTTAGGGTTTAGGGGTTTAGGGTTTAGGGGTTTAGAGTGCAGTGCCCCTTCGGAGCTACCGTTGTTTTTCAATGCCATGCCCTTTTGATGTTAGCCATGTTTATGATGAAGACCTGGATCCTTCAATAAGGAAGCCAGAAAAGAAAACAAGGGAACTCGAATGACCTAAACTCAAACCCTATACTCAAACTTTCTGTAGACCCCAAGCCCCCAGAAGTAAACCTCCATACCCGGTTTCCCGCTATCCGAAGCCCTAAATCCCGACGACTTATGTCAGCGCTCAGCGGTCAAGCCTAGAGTGGCTAGTGTCTAGCATCGGAACCCTCAACCCGAAGCCCACAGCCCCTGCGCATCTTCCGGACAGTTGCACGGCCGCGAGGATTCATCCGGAAAATCAGGTCGGCTTTGGGCTGTCTTGCCCTAAGGATCCATGTGCCCAAACAGTAATTAGGTACTCTGGCCTTAAAGTAATCCCCATGCCCATTTAGGTACTTTGGGACCAAAGTATATACTAGTTGGGTACGTGGACCCTCAGGGTTAGCCTTAAGCGAGCCTCAACAAAACGCTTGAAGTGAAATGGGAGGAGGCAAGCCTTGGGATTGAGCCCGCCCATTCTTGAAAACAGACTGCGCAGGGGGGGGAAGCCCAGCAGAGAGAAGGACTACTTTGACAACTGACACCTCAACATATCGAGGCTCCTGAACGCTGCTCTGGAAAGACATTTT